CATGCACTGCACATAGAGGAATAAAGTACATGTGCAATGGAGCCAAGTTTTTTTTTAAAAGAAAACAAAGCAGGAAATAGTATGATAAAGGCAAAGGAAAATGGAATCATTACATGGAGACTATTTAGGGTGTCCTCTCTCTCTAATAAAACTATTCTGTAAGAGGTCCCAGTTTTAGTAATTTAGAAAAAAACAAGAGGAAGAGATTCAAATCCAAGAGATGCCCTCAGAACAAACACTTCAGTAACCCTGCGTCTTGTGGGATTCCTTCCTTAAAACCCCGTCCCCTGACTGGAGACGTACAAATAATGGTTACAGAGACACAGTTTAACTACCCCACATTACAGACGGACTGAAACGCCATGACACAGCCATACTGTATGATGAGGTCTGTTGGGATCACTTCTCTCTATGACAAATTCTAGCACAATTCAAGATGTTACAAGGCTTGTTTAATAAGGTGGACCCGGTCTTTATATATTTTTAAAAAGCAATTGCACTCACATACACAGACAGACAGACACAGACGTATTTATATATCGTGTGAAATATGAACTTACCATACAGATTTCCTACACCATTTAACAGATCACCAGGAGCTGAGAAGGGGGTAATCCTTTCCCCCATTTACTGTAAAATTACACACCTCTCAGACAATTATCTTTTTAAATCAACATTAAGGATAACCTCCACTTCGTGTCAATCAATTCCATCATGTTAGAGTTCCTTAACTAAGTTTGCAAATAAACACAAACCTTACAAAAAGGGAGACGATTTTTCTTATTTTTTTTAACCAGAATAATACAAAATGTCTCCTTTTCTGTTTATCTTAAGGGAGATTGGTGCATTATCATTTACATTTCTGCAAGTACTAGTACCTTTTAGTGCACGTTTGTGAAATCTGCCCCTGGTAGACAATCCTCATGTTTCTACAGATGGGAGCTTTTCCTTACCTCTGTATTGGGGAGAAGCACATGCACTCCGTGTTAAAGAGAGGCCGCTGGAACACATGCGAAGCAGGCAGAGCGAAGACGCAGCACGCCAACTAAAGACCAAGTGCATGGCTCCCCGAGGCAGGAAGACCGTTAGGCTCCAGGTTCTTGTCAACCCAATCAAGAGCTGGCAGCCTCAGGATACTAACTCTTCCGATGATCATTTCTTTTGTTTTCTCAAGGCTGATGACATGTTCATCCCCTCCTCCTCCCCCCCTACAACTACCAGAAATAGGAAGTTTGAAACCTCTCATGGAAAAACCTCAAGATCTTCCATTGCAGGCCTTGTACAGACAGATTAAAGGTCAACAAGCGGTTATGAGCAGCGGCCCATGAGGTCCAAGGTAAGCCCCACATGGTCTACAATTAACAGGAGGATCTGGAGACCCTTCCATTAATGATACCTGGATCCCTATAGTGAGAACAGTTACTTTATTTGCAACGTGAAAAGAATATAACAATACATCCAATAAATTGGGGTTTGCGTGCACTTTTAGAAGAAGTAATAATGCAATGAGGTCTTTTCCTCCAAGGTTCTCAGTCAATCCAATATGGCTTCCACCACCACCATATGCGGGCAATTGTAACAGACACAGCAATATGGCTATAGATGTTGCGATGCTGCTGTATATGGCAGATAGAGCAATACATAGTCAGAGTTACAGATAGAAAGACTAGCAGAACCAGAAAAAGACCGTGATTTAAAACAAAAACCCAAGGGAGTCAGAGATATGGCTGAATAGAGAGTTCAAATATTAAAGGAATATTGTCGAAAAAGGTTTTAGCATCCAAATATACGGTAAAGTTTATAATATACCGTACCATGTGTTCCCTAATAATTAGGTGTCCCCCTCTTTCAACTGATGTTGGCAGAGGAGGAGCAAGGGATATTGGTACTGGAATCAGGTAAGATTCTCACCCTTTGTCGGCTGCAGGGTGCTGTGGGATACGAGGGAGGTAGTATGGGGTATGAGGGAGGTGGTGTGGGGTGCGAGGGAGGTGGTGTGAGGTACGAGGGAGGTGGTGTGAGGTACGAGGGAGGTGGTGTGAGGTACAAGGGGGGGTGTGGGGTGCAAGGGAGGTGGTGTGAGGTACCGAGGTGGTGTGAGGGGGTGGGTGTACCGTGGGTGCAAGGAGGTGGTGTGAGGTGTGGGTGCACAAGGGAGGTGGTGGAGGGGAGGTGGTGTGAGGTAACGAGGGGGTGTGGGGTGGAGGTGGTGTGAGGTACGAGGGAGGTGGTGTGAGGTACGAGGGGGGGTGTGGGGTACGAGGGAGGTGGTGTGAGGTACGAGGGGGGGTGTGGGGTACGAGGGAGGTGGTATGGGGTACGAGGGAAGGTACGAGGGAGGTGGTGTGGGGTGCAAGGGAGGGGGTGTGGACAGAGGGTACTATAGTCCTAGAAATACAATGTTGCAGTCGTAGCACTAGAGTTTTCCATTTAAGAAAAATACTCCTCTCTGTCTCAGAGATTCTACCTGTGGTCTGAAAACAGCAAGGTGAATTGTTAGTGTAGGAGTCTAGAGGTTTACATTGACGTGGCAGGTGAGCTTACTTACACATTACTGGCCATTGGAGTGGTGATTATTTAAATGTGTATAGGGATTTGGCATGGTGTGCAAGGAACGGATTTAGTTTTTATTCCATCTATTGGGGCTAATGTGTACTATAGTCATTGCTGCCGCCCAGGAGCAGTGGGAGTTTGAGCGCAAGGCTTGATTTCGTATGTCGTAAAAACATTTTATTATTATTCATGTATATGTCATTTTTAAAGAAAATCGCTTGTCTACCTTTCCCACTCCCCATTTCTGACAGCCATCTTTATGCACCTTTGGTCAGACTGTCGGTTACCTGACCCAAAGCTCACTATTTTGCAGCTGTCTTTTGAAAACTGCCTGCTCTTTCTGTCAGACGATTTTGAAAAGCAATGGACAGCTGCCAAATTGTGATCGCTGGGTAAGATAACTGGCAATCCTATAAATATGGATTGGAGAATATAGGCAAGTATTTTTTAAAAAAAATTTTTTTTCAATAAATATAAATTTAAAAAAAATAATGAGATGGTATATTATAAACATAACAAACATTATTTTAAGATAAAAAAAAATAGATCTGATGTCAGTGTTCTTTTAAGCTTGGATTGCAAGCTCTGGAGCGCAGGGATTCGGACAAACACATGGTATAATGTCGGCCCTAGCTGTGTGTATATCAGCCTAGTGACAGTGTGAGAGGAGATGGCTCCTGGAACGAAGCTGTTTAAATGAGATATACAGTGAATATTGGATGTTACTACACTGTGATACTTTGTAGTGATAGTGGACGGTGCGCGAGGTCTGTGGCCCCTGAAGCAGCTGTCTCTCCATTCCTCCCGGTGCCGCCATTCTCCGCCTTATCTTGCTTCACTTGAAGTCAGACACAGAGTGATCCAGACACACTCGGCACATGGATTCTCATGCACTCGTTTCCATGGCGACTATCGCCACGCAACAGCTCCAAGGTCTCAGCCTCCTTGATGCTGTGGGAGGTGGGAAAGGCATAGACATGGCAGTGTATGTGAGAGAGCAACAAAACTCTAGGGAGACCACCCTGTCTCCCTGCTCTGCCTAGAGACGGTTAACCCCTTGCGCCAAAAAGAGCAGAGAGCCATGCAAGACAAAATGTGCCATTTCAGAATCAAACCACGTAAAACATCTATAAATGCCAAAACTCCAGGTAGCCATGGCTACTAACTATCATCCTTATGGAGCTTAGATTTCTTGGTCCTCAACAGATGTAGACTTGCTGACTCCTGCACGCAACGTGATTCTAAATTCTGCATCGATTTCGAGCAATCCTGTAGTATGTTGTAGGAACAGAGCAGGGATTATAAATATCTGGATGGTTTAGGAGCCAGACAGAACTAATTAGAAGCCATTTTGTGTAGTAACCAAGTGGAAAGTATTTGCTTTGAGGTTCTCAAAAAATACTCAAAAATGTTTGGTGTTCGCAGTAATATTTAGAGTTCCTTAACCCCTTAAGGACCAAACTTCTGGAATAAAAGGGAATCATGACATGTCACACATGTCAAGTGTCCTTAAGGGGTTAAACTACGAAGAAGACTTTAAAGGACCGTAATTTCTACTTGCTTCAATTAAGGTGGCAACCACTACTATCATGGAAATTGAGCAGGGTTTTGGACAGGGGATCACAAACATAAGCCAAAATTACAGGGGATCTTTAAAAATGACCAGTGTTCCATATATCACCAACCTCCTTTCCCCCCCAAGTCTTACATTAAAGAAATGGATGTTTGAAAGAAAAAAAACAAAACAAAAAAATGGGTTAAGATGGGCAGTATTAGCTGTTCCGGTTGTCAGACCTTTTTATATGACGTAGTGAGCAAATACCGGAACTGGATTGAATCAATCGCATGCGTTTTGGATCTGTCATTATTCTGTCAGTTTGTGGAGAAAATGCAGAAACTGCTAAATCGTTCCCTGGGAACAAAACCAGCTGTTACAAGAGATCGGGTTTCTTGATGCAAAACCCTTGCAGGAAAATGCCCGGAACAGGATGAGGTGGTGATTTGAAAATATGTTTGTATGTACTTATTAAAACTGGCTGCATTTAGGGAAGCGCTTTAGAATCCATCAACGGAAATGTCCAAATGCAGGGAAAACATTTAGGAACTTGAAACCCCTACATGCCGTGGCCTGTTATTGAGTGTCAGTCCCAAAAGAAGGCAATGACATCATCGGACTGATATGAGCGCTTCAGAGAGTCCACCTGCCTTGCTCTCTCCCTCTGCTACGTTGTTGCTCTTGCTGGTGGTACACGGTTATATTATCATAAACAGCAACTACACAGAACAACACGTAAAAAGAATATTGGTTTACAGTTCCAGCTTAATAATGTGACACTGCAATTCATGAATTTATCCTAATTGAATGCAATTAAAAAGTGTTTGTAACTTCCAGATCTCGTATTACAAATTGTGGTTTTATGAGGCTTTGATTGTAAATGTCCCCCGTCATGGTCACCGCAGGGACATCTGCAGTTGCATCCATGGAAACTGAAGCAAACAGTGGTGACCAAGGTCTCTTTCACCTGTTCAACTTCTGTCTCGTGAAAGAGACCTTTTGCTGGATGAGTAATGGCATGAGAGTGCCAGGAACCCTAGGCACTGGGCCAAGAGATTCTGTTCTGAAGCTTTCAGTCGGTCTTGAGCACCCAACCCAGTCTGCCCTCACTCGGAGCAAGGATGGTCCTTTACCGATGCTGTAGAGCAGTAAATATTAGTCCAGATGTTTTTGCATGCCTTAGGCTTGAGGCAGACTGAGAATGATTGGAAATGTTGTTTAGAAACATACGGGGTGCCAATGTTGGCTAGCAATGCAAATCAGGTTTAGGGGTATGGTTTCTGGTTTGGCAGCAAATCATTTCCACTCATTAATGCAGAAGGCAAAATATCAATACAAACAAACATGAAAATAGAAAGCTGCATGCTAAGTACTATATGATATATTTCAATGAACAAATATGATACTGCAATACTGTATATGATTGCATCAGATTCGCTGGACTAACAGTCTGCGCCTGGGTGTCCGTGTTCTAAATGAGAACACTGAGTATCCAATGTCACGTCACCAAGGCAATGACGGAGTGAACCTTATAAGGGTCACTGCCATATTATGTTCCGTATTCTCTAGTACCCAGACTTTAAAAACAGAAAAAGTTGGACTCCTTTTCAAGAGTCAGACATGTACAGTCAACCATCACACAGGGGGGTAAATTAATTAGCATCATTTGGCAGGAAGTCTGGCAAACAATGTAAATGGTAAAAAGCACATGCCTTCTCTAACACATACAGGCCAATTTAGATCAGGGAGCAAAAAGCACAGTTGGTTACAACTTGCAAGCAAAAGGCTAGTAGTCAGTCTCTGAGTAAAGATGGTTTTTGATGTACCAAGCAAAATATTTGAAAAATACATGGGGGTATTTTTTTTTTCCTGAATAGCTTTTTTTTTTTTTTTTCATGCAAAGATGTGGATTCCTTAACAAAAAGGCAATGAAGCTGACAAAAAAAATTTCAGGAGCAAAATACATGTAAACATAGTGTAAAGACCCCCTGCGATCTCCCGCAGCTCAGAGCTGTTGTAAAACTGTATGATTGTGTTTTTGTGATGTTTAAGCCCTGCATCCTGGGTGACATTGGAAATGGGCTCTGTGCCACGATAATGTCCACACTGGCAAAGCGGTTCTGTGTGATATATTTCTGAGATGAGCACAATGTGTGTGTGAATTTTGCCATTAAAAGTCATGGACATTGAGAGCAAAATCCATGAATTCCTCATGGTTTAAGGTGCTTTGGGCACTCCTTTATCATCTAATCGTAGTGAATTGAAAACCGAATTGCAAAATACCGGCTAAAAGTGCAAATTTGGAAAACTTTTGCCACCGTCACGGTCTGGATATTAAGTCTAAATTTCAAATTCACATTTCAATTCACTACAATCGTGTGATGAACATGTCCCTAAATGTAACATAATCAGAGCTCAAAATCTCAAGCCCTGCGCTACGAGCCAGGCTTAAAAGTTACATGCCACCAGAGGCCTGGAGGGTCCATGGCACAACTCATGGTGAATTACTTTAATAGGCGAGTGGAAATGTAATGCCCTGTTAGTATTTCAAACACTCGTCTACAGGATATGATAATATGAAAAAAATAGATACAATGAGAATGGCATATTCATTAACAAGACGCTACGATCAGAATGTCACCAATAGGGACAGATATTGCTTCACATCTCCCAGCGATGTCACAGAAAGGTCTACACAAAGGAATCATATTTATTTATTCCAAATGTTTTTTACCAGTAAGAATACATAGAGATTTTTATTGTTTTTAAGTCTGTCCTGGGACATACGCTTGAGACTAAACTGTGATTTTCTAAAGTGAAAGATTAATTCTCATCAGAAATATCGATACTACCGAATTTTCTTTACAGGCACGGGGCTGTCCATTAAATCTTGGTGATCCACCCCACAATCTATATCTTGTACGGGGGGGAGGGGGGGGGGAATATTGTGACACAAACTCCGCCATTATTTAATGTCTTTCAAGTCCCAGATCAGCAAGCGGCTGTCTAACAATCAGAGAAAGACCCGTCGGAATCTCTGATATTGGACTCAACAACCAGGTATGTTTATAGACTGGGATAAAAGTCGTTCCTGCTTGCTCCAAGGCTGCCTGCAAGAAGTGTGCTTGTTGCCATCCTGCAAGGGTAGAGGATGGCACAGAGGGTGAAACGCTTTAGGCGACCAGGTGTTCGCTACCAGCCTTCATCGCTCATCGCAATTAGTTTCTAGGAGGGGAGACTGAACAATCTAAGTACAATCCTACGGAGACGCAAAAAGAAAAATTGAGGTCTGATTCAAGCAACCCCCGGAGGGAAGAAATTATGTTCCTGACCTAGATTTCAAGCAAAAATCTAGACACAGTGCCTTAGCAGGAAGGGATGCTGGTACTAAATCACACAATATACTGCCATCAGTGGACTCACACATCCAAGTGCAACGTGATCTTATAATCTAGAACCTCTTTTTCTCTTTTTTTCCTGTTTTAATAATACATTTGATATTTTCTGGAAATCTGCAATCTTAGAAATATACGCTTCAATTCACAGTTTTGTTATCTTTGCAAAGTCACCGCGCAGGCCTCTATGAGAGGCCACTGGAACGGCGTGAAGTCGGACAATGAGTGCCCAGTTTTTATGCTGTGTTCACTATTCTCTGAGTCATTGATTTTTTTTTTTTCTGAGCTGTACTTTCAGAGTTTATCAGACCTTTCCTGCTGTTTTACCTTACATTAGGCAAACGGTCTGTTCACGAAATTCCCTCTAGAAAATAAGGATTATAGGGACGGATTTTTTATTGTAAATTCTTACATGCAATCGACTCTACAGCGTCTTCAAAAAGAGTGAAAGGCAGATTTAGAAAGACAGACAGATGGATAAAAATAGAGATACAATAGAAAAAGAATAAAGCGAGATATTCAGTCTTGTCATTTCCACAAGCCAACACAATTGGGAGCAGTTAACCCCTGCTGTGCCGGAATAGTACATGGCATGCCAAGGGTTAACACAGACTGCCAGTTGTGAATCAGGTTGCGTTCAGCTGACCAGACAGCTGCACGGCAGCCATGAGGCATATTAAATGGCGGCTTTTGTGAGAGGAGTTTGCAGCATTTTCCCAGATGACATTGAGGACTGTCCGGCCATTTGTTCTTTGTTTGACTTCACTGAGTTACGTGGCAATAAAACGTCTCATTCCAATTGGACACTGCCGTGCCGGTATGTGGGGATTCCTCACCTACACTGATTGCTCTGCCTCCCATCTGCCTAGATTTGTCAGCACTTGCTTACGTTTTATCTATTGTACAGCGCTGTGGAACATGTTGATGCCTTATCAATAATAATAATCATTAAAAATGGCTTCCTACGACTTCATGGTTCTCTAGACATTTGTGTTCAGGATAAAGATCTCTATGAAGTTGTCCTAAGTAAAAGGAATGATTTAGAGCTCCCTCCCTCTCGCTGCTCTCCGCAGGGTGCCCATGCTGGCTGTAGAGAGGGGATGGGCACCCAGGAGTGGCTGGCACACGTGTGATCTGTTTCCAATCGAGCAGACAAGGAGGCGCTCTGAGCAACTTGCAGTCTCAGCATCTCCTGAGCGCTGATCCGGAGCAGACATTGGCAGCACGAAGAAGGGGCCCTTTGTTAAGATTCCCAAGAAGAGGGTCAACATAGCAGGTAGCCACGGGGCCCCTGGCATGGGGCAAATCATAAACTACCTAAAAATAAAAACAGAAAACTACAAGGGGAATACCTGACGGACGGGTCAGCAATACACATGGTGTAGCTTGTTTAAGGCAGCATGAATTCGATCAGGCCAAGGCCTTCTGCATCTCTGTGAAATATCCCATGCTACCACTGCTGCTGGGAAAATATTCCATGAATCCACTACCCTCGTTTGGTACAGTTGTCTTTCTGCTGACCTCCGCATACACGGCGTAACCCCTGGCACCTCCTCCCCATGAAAGAAATGCTCCCTCTGCCCTTCGCAAAGTGTTTTAAAGGCATGTAAGCACATACCAACAGGTAACACTAGACCTTCAGGCAGAGAACCGACCACTTGTGGTCGCACAAGCCATATGGCAACGCATGGGGGTTTAAAAACGCAGAGGAGTCTGTGTTCTTAAAACGCCATGTGTGGCCCTATGATTAAAATGAAAGGTAAGGTTTCCTAGCTCCTAACAAAATAAATAAGTAAATAAATTGCTCGTAAATATATAACCAGGAGGCTAACTTTTATAAACATTTGCCAATCTCAGTGTCAGAGGGCTTTGAGCACGCTGCACTGGAAGAGCTGAAATGTCATCAGATGTACCTAGCAGTACTGTCTCTGTGGTTCAAGAAATCTCACATTACACAGAGAACAAATCACATACTAAAGTCTCGCCTCCCGGATGCTGACGGTCTACAACTCCCAGAATTCTTTGAATGCAACAGTTAGCCAGAGAACCATGGGAATTGTAGTTTAGCAACAGCTGGGGGGGTTGGAGATACTTGCGTTATGGAAATCCTTCATTAAGTTCCAGTGGACCAAAGTGTTCACAGAACAATACGCCGCAGTCAGACTGCGCAGAAACTTCTCGCAAACTTTAGAGAGCGAGCAACAGTAACGCATCTCGCAGGAGTGACAGCTTACTGGAAGAAGTGCATCTTGAATCATTATCCTGCTTGCTATCATTTTACACTTGGTTATCAGAATAATGGCCCTCTGCCCATTTTAGGCGCAGTGACTTTGTGACAAATCGTAAAATTGCAGATTACTTGTTGTAAAGGTTAAAGAGCAAAGAATTTAAAGCAAAATCCTCGCAGCTATACGGAGGAAAAGAAATGGGCAAATCACCTTTTTTATATGGCCAAGATTTTAGATTTTACGGTAACACCATCATTCCCATTAAACGCCAATCTCTGAAGCTAGGAAATTGGAATTAACACACACTGATGAAATGGAGAATACGGGGTTAAATGGGGACTGCCAGGAATTCACAGTGGATTCAATGCAAATTTTACATTTAAGGCAAAACACAGCCAAACCGGGAGCGTCATTTTCCCATTCAGCTATGTTTGTCTTAAATGTGAAATTTACTTTGAATTCCTAACAATTCTCACTTTAGTGAATAACCCTGTATGTATCGAAGATCAAATACACCTACA